TACACCTTACACACACACACACACACACACACACACACACACACACACACACACACACACACACACACATACACACACACACACACACACACGGGCCACTCCATTCGCAAATAAATAACAAATCTCGAGAACGTAAACCGTTCGGAGAAATTGAGGTCAAGTTATTTTCCCGAGCGTTTGGAGAAATAGAGCCGGCCTATCAAAAAGGATTGTGGACAAAGGGACGCAACCGCGTGTTTGAGAATGCGACTCAAGAAACATAGCTTTTTGTAGTAGTTAGTTCCCTTGAAACTGTCACATGTAGGCTAATGATTTATATATTCATAACAACGCTGTAATGGAAAAACTAACGAACTTTCTTACGTTGTCTTTTTATTCCTTTTAATTAATTTTTTTTTTTTGGCGCTCACAGCTGCATAAGGTCATATATCTTTCCCCGTGGTTTTATGCACCCAGCATAATTTAGCAAAATTTGATCAATTTTTGGGGGCATAATTTCTGATTATTTTCCTTTATCATTCTTTGAACCGACAGTAGGCAACGGGAAACCACTGCTGTAATACCCCAAGAATAGTCTTGGAAAAGTACATTCATTTTTCAAATAGACATAAGGGTCCTGACATCTAGCTCTCACTGGCAAAATTGAGGGCAAGCGAGGCAGGGGTAGGCCCAGAACAAAATTCTTAGGGAACCTAAACAAATGGGTAACAGGGAAAGATCAGGGAAACGTAGCTTTTTTTAGAGCATCCTGGCAAAGGAATGAATAGAGAACCATGATCGCCGATTTTTGTCGCAGATCTGGCACTGGAAGATGATGATGATCATTCTTTGTTAAAATTAACAGAATCTCATAATTTCATTTTTTTGGGGCTCAGTTTGCATGATTTCAGATTTTTTATATTTTTTTTCTTAAAACTGCGGGGACAGATACATTAGCTCTCGGGACAAACTAAGCCATTTCAGTTTGACAGGAGTTAATTTTGAAATTTGTCCTGGGTGGCGTTGAACCCTACATTCACTTTTTTCCCAGCAATTGTAACATTGGAGGAGTTTCACTTAAGTGTTGGGGCTCTCGTGGTCGAGAGGATAGAGTGTTTGCCTCTCATTCAATAAGTCCCGGGTTCAAATCCGGATAACAACGGAACCTTTTCATACCTAAATTGTTCTCTTTCCACCTCCTCTCCAGCACTCTGACAGTGTTCTGAAATCTGCTTTCGTCTTCACTTCCTACCCTCACTCTCTTAATTACCCCCTTTGCCCCCACCCCCTCCTCTGGGCTCCTGACTCTTTCAGCAGCCTTTCTACTGCTTCTTGTTGGTTCCTCCTTACTGCTGTATTTCAGCCGCACTCCTGATATTATGATAGATAAGAGCTTACACCTTGCCTTCGCGGAGAAGGGCGAAATATTTTGGAAGTCCCGTGTACAAGTTGCGAACGTTAAAGACCCCTTCGGCACTTATATGACCTTACTGTGTTGCAAGTGGCGTAAAACTCTTATTAAAACTATTTTAAAAAAGATACCTTGGTGGTCAAAAATCGATAAGAGCAGGTTTCAGCCGCAACCCGGGCAAATTTCAAAATTTCCCACTGACTGAAAATATTTTATGTGTTCCGCGCGCTCATATGACCTAATTAATCAGTTGTGACCGCGCCGTAAAAAATAATTTGCCCCCCCAAAAAAGCCCAAAAGTAGAACACGCCTGAAAGCCAATAAGGGGAAGTCACAGTTATCATGTCAGAGAACAATCCTAATGAACATTTATTTCCCTTGATACGACGAATGCGGTTCTAAAATTTCGCTTCGTTTGCTGCAGATCACACGTACAGCCACTAACACTTACACTGTCGCAAATCAATTATTTTGAAGAAAATTTCCAACCTTACTGCAAAATATCAAATTATGGGTTAAAACTGGGGGACATGCCCCCCAGATGTTTTTACTTAGTCTAGAGGCACAAAGCATTTTGATTGGTCTATCTCCGCCGGAGACGTCTCTGAATAGATACTGCGGAATGATCCTGTGAAAAAGAGCGTTCTAGTTCTAGTTCTGTGAGGTGTTCAGACAAACACAAAGGAGAGTTCTGCTGATACGTATTGGTTGTTGTTGTTGTTGCTGTTGTTGTTGTTGTTGTTGTTGTTGTTGTTGCAGCAGCAACAGGAACTTCGGAAGAAGAAGGAAATATGGCATACGGTTTGATGCTAGATTTCCGGTTGTGAATAGGTCAAAAACATTGGTTTAGGGTTTTTAAAAAGACAGCTGTGTGTTGGAGAAGAGAAATAGACAGTAGGAGACTTGAAGTGAAGACCATTTCGATCATTTCGATGAAAAATAAAAACGATTCATGACCTCACCCTCCTGTCTTGTACATCTTATCATGAGTAGCTGCCCCTAGTCCGCAAAGCAAATCGTCTCAAAACATCAAAACATCCCCCC